TCTGGATTGAGCTTCAGTTTATTGGCCCTCATCCAGACCATTACCTCGGCCAGGCACCAGTTCAGCACAGCCACTGCCTCACCTGGATTGGTGGAAAATGAGAGGTAGAGCTGGGTATCATCAGCGTACTGGTGATTCCGCAGCCCACACCTCCTGATGACCTCTCCCAGCAGTTTCATGTAGACGTTAAACAGCAAAGGGGACAAAATGGATCCCTGCGGTACTCCATGGCATAGCTGCCATGGTGCAGAGCCATAGTCCCCCAGCATCACCTTCTGGAATCGGCCATTGAGATAGGAGTGGAACCACTGCAAAGCAGTGCCTCCGACCCCCAATCCCGCTAGCCTATCCAGAAGGATACCATGGTCGATGGTATCAAAAGCTGCTGAGAGGTCCAGAAGAACCAACAGGGATGCACTCCCCCTGTCCCTCTCCCTGCACAGGTCATCATACAGGGCGACAAAGGCAGATTCAGTACCGTACCTGGGTCTGAAGCCAGACTGAAATGAGTCCAGATAATCAGTTTCATCCAAGGGTGCTTGGAGTTGTCCCGCCACCACCCGCTCCAACACCTTGCCCAGAAACAGGATGTTGGCCACTGGTCTATAATTAGTGGCCATCTCTGGATCCAGTGACACTTTCTTCAGGACCGGCCGGACTACCACCTCCTTTAAAGGGGCAGGTACCCGACCCTCCCTCAGAGAAGCGTTAACCACTTCCAAGATCCAGGTCCCAATCCCGTGTTTGGCGTTGTTTATTAACCAAGATGGACAAGGGTCCAATAGGCAAGTGGTGGGACGTACTCGCCCAAGCACCTTGTCCACATCATCAGGCCGCAATAACTGAAATTCATCCATTAATTTTGGACCAGATGGCAACATTGGTATCTCCTCAGAAGCCTCTGAATCACTAGTAGAGTCTAGCTTGTGACGAATCTGAGCAATTTTCTCCCTGAAATGCTTGGCAAAGTCATCACAGCGGGCCTTCAAGGGTGGAACCAGATCTTTCTTAGGGCCAGGGCGAACCAGGCCTTGTTCCACCCGAAAAAGCTCCGCCGGACAGCATTTTGAGGAGGCAATGGAAATGGAGAAGAATTTCTTTTTCGCCACCCTCACCACCACAGCATAGGCCCGATAATGGGCTCTTAAGTGTGTTCGGTCAGATTCATTCCATGATCTCCTCCACCTACGCTCTAGCCATCTCCCAGCCTGCTTCATCGCCCGCAATTCAGATGTATACCAAGGGGAAGAGTGGGCTCTGCCTGGCGGGAGAGGACGCTTAGGAGTGATCGTGTCAACAGCCCTAGTCATCTCCCCATTCCATAGTTCGACCAGAGCCTTGACAGGAGCACCAGTCTTGTCGGCTGGAAACTCCCCCAGGGCCTGCAGGAATCCGTCCGGATCCATCCAGCTCCGGGGGCGGACCCACACAATCGGGTCCACACCCTTACAGAGGGAGAGGCCGCTCTCGAGCACTAACCTCACGAGGAAGTGATCTGACCATGACAGGGGTGTCAGACATAAATTCCTCACCCTCAGACCACTCTCTTCCTGCCCTGTCGAGAAAACCTGGTCCAGAGTGTGTCCACGTTCATGGGTCGGGCCAGTGACATGTTGAGACAGCCCCATGGCTGTCATGGAGGCCATGAAGTCCTGAGCCGCCCTGGTCAGACCAGTCTCGGCATGGAGATTGAAGTCCCCCAGGACCAACATCCTGGGGGTCCTCAACACAGGTCCGAGACAATCTCCGTCAGCTCAGGCAGGGAGACTGTTGGGCAGAAGGGTGCACGGTACGCCAACAGAATCCCCAATCTCTCTCGGTCGCCCAACACCAAGTAGAGGCACTCCAGCCCTGGTCTTGAAGGGACTGGAAGTCCCGTGAGGGAGATGGAGGCTCGGTAAACCAAAGCGACCCCCCCTCCCCTCCCCTCCAGGTGTGGACGGTGCTGAACCAGATACCCGGGCGGGCACATTTGAGAGAGGGCGACATCCCCCCCCGCTCAGGTCTCCGTTATGCAAGCCAGGTCGGCCCCCTCATCCACAATCAAGTCATGGATGAGGGAAGATTTATTGTGGACCGACCTGGCATTGAGCAGCAGCACCGTCAGGCCCGAGGGGCGGTTGACAAGACTACCTGGAACCCTCTGGCTGGGGGCAGAACCAGAAGGAGGGACGGGTGTCAGCCATCTGTCCCTCCTTCTTCTACGTGGACACGTTAAGCCCCCACCACTGTAACGTCCATTGTCCGTGACCACCCCAATGGCGGCACCCACGTGCTCCCTAGGAAACTCAACCGTCAACATGGCCAGGGACGACTCCATAAAAACAAATTAAAATACAATAAAACTTTAAAACAGTAAAAAACACCCCATCTACCCCCCAATTCAAAATTCCACCCACCGACCTAGCCCCCTGCCAGCCCAGCCCTGCACGGCCACGAACGGCCGCAAACGGTGGCGACCGCCCTTTGGCCGTCACCCTTCGGCCGCCGGCCCCAGGCCGACTCCGGCGGGTTAAGCTGGCGCCCACCCACGCACCCTGCCCCAATCCAGCGTTGCACTCACTGATGCTGGCGGTGGGGGAGCAGAGAGGGGTGCGGAAACCCGCCCAGTGGTGAGATGGCAACGCCCTCCTCCGCACCGTCGACAGTGGCCCTGGCGTGGCCCTGGCGTCTTCCGTCCCCGGGGTGGCCCAGCGGTGGCCGCGGGAGCGGCATCAGCTGGCCCCACGGCTCGGCGGTGCGCCTCAGGTCCGGCTCGGGCACATTAGGATGATGCCTTCCACTCAGAATCAGTTTTTTTCACTGGGCTGCAATTTCTATACCGATTCTGGCCTGCTGCCTTTAACAGTTGCCTGAAAGGGAGACACTGGACAGGGGAGATTTTTGTCATGGCATGGAGATAAGTGCTGGAGGGGAAAGGGCCCCTAAAAGGATGGAAGTCAGTCAGTCAGCAGCCTCCTGTCCCCTCCTCACTACCATGTGGGCTGTCCTTTTGTCCTCTCTGCATCCTGGCAGACAATCTAGTTCCCTCCGTATGTTGCTGACTCCCATCAGCCCCAGCCATCCCTGGTCAGGGATGATGGGAGTTATCTGTGGAGCACAAGTGGTCTGCCCAAATGCTCTACATCTGTTGGAGCTAAGGCCCAACAAGGGTGAGTATCGTTCCAGGGGAGGAATGTGCCCGAGCTCCTTGTGCCCGCCCACACGGCCAGCCCAGATCTTGGCCTTCTCCGCAGATGTCAGCACACGCTGCTGGGCACGCTGCAGAACAGCAGGCTCTGTTAGGAAGTCTTAGAAGGCAGGAAGTGAGTGGGCAGCAGGCAGCACTGACCTTTAATTCTGCTCTCCAGCCCCATGTGAAGAAGAGCCCATGGTCATCTCTGGGGATTCTGTTCAACAAAAAAGCCTCACACAATCCAACCCTTTTACTAGGGAAGGCTGATTCCTGCCATGGTGTGGTGGAAGCACAGAACTACATGATTCTCGTGCTTCCAGACAAGGCTTTTGTGTGCCACAGCTGCCACGTTCACCGGGTTTTACAGCAGGGGACAGGCGTCGTGGCCATCCGCTTGTAACCCTGCCATACTTTCTCACCTATTCTTTCATCTTTTTTCTACGATGAAAAATCCCTCAAGGAAGAAAAGGCAGAACAGCTGCATGGTGGGTTCTCGTGGTTAGTGCTAGCCCCTCTCCACCTGGAAGCAAGGACTGTGATTATTTTTTTCCAAAGCAACATTTTTTGGATCTCTATTAAAAGAGACATATCCAGAATAAAAATGCTTGCCCTTATGGGGAGCCCTTTCTTTAGACAGTTGTAGGTCACAGCTCAGTGTAGAGCATAGGCTTGGATGAGATGGACTCAAGGCATCTCCAGGAACGACCCCTGCCTGAAGCGCTGGGGAGCTTCATCAGTCATTCTGGGCAATTCTGGGCTACATGGACCAAGGGCCTGTGTGGAAGCTTCCTATGGTCCTACCTTGTGGTCTGTGGCACACCTCTGCATACACACACAACCACGAATGCAACTGATCCCATGCTACTACTCAGCTTTGGTCTGAAGATCTTTGTCTGAGCCTTGAGGAACTCCTTTGTAGAATCAGGCATTGCTTAACAATGAACAGGAGAGATGGCTGCCTCTTATAGGCCAAGTGCTGAGGTATTCACCTGCTTTCTCATCTGTGGGGATGTGTTGCCCAAGCAATAATACTCCCTTGGCTCAATCTATAAGATAATTCTTGGGTAGTGCCATTTGTAGGGCTGTTTTGCCCCAGAGACTGATTCTTCCTTTCTCCTTTGCAGCTCATTGGCTGCATCATTGGCCGTCAGGGCAGCAAGATCAGCGAGATCCGGCAGATGTCCGGAGCGCACATCAAGATTGGGAATCAGACAGAGGGCTCTGCTGAACGTCATGTAACCATCACAGGCACTCCGGTCAGCATCACCTTGGCACAGTACCTCATCACAGCCTGGTAAGAGCCATTATGCCTGCCGGGGAGGTCAGGAAGTGGGGAGTGGGGGGAAGTAACTGAGCACATGCACAGATACATGGAGCCATCAGCATGGCTCCTTCCTGCTGTGCCCAAGTTCTGTGGCTCTTTCATGGATGGCTGTTTGCTGTGCTGGGTGTATCCTGAGTTTGCAAACACTCTGCCTTTAACTTAATAAACAGGAGCACTGAACAGAGTCATGCGGCATTTCTGTTGCTCTGTCATCAGCCTCTCAACTAATCTCCGTCTGCCTCCAACCCAGATGAGATTTTGAGTGTCTCATGAACTAACCCAGTGCTATTACGATTAGCTACAATATTTTGGGCAGACTCCATCCTGACCCGTCACTGCTTTCCCTTCAACTTCCCTTTGCAGCTGAAAGCTACAGGGGGGGAAACCAGTTCTGTTCAGAAAGAACTGCTGGGTACAGCATGGAACTCTTCCATTTACTCAAGTGATAGACTCTCTTAGGTGAGTAGAGGAGGACATTTGTCACTGGGCAATACCCAACTGTGTCATCCCACTAGTGCAAAGGGGAATTAGGTTCTGAACCAGGTGCAAGAGAAGATTCTGACTAAAGTTATGTTTGTTCAACAGAAGGATTCAGTGGAGCTCTGCCAGCACTATTTGCGTTTGCAGAATGAGTCCGTTGAATACTGCCCATTGCTTATTATTATGACCTGGCACTTGTGATGCTTCAAGTTTTGGACCAGGAAATAACAGTCATTCATTTTTCATGGAGTACTACCCCTAGGGAACTCGACTTCAATACATAGCTTATCACTGAAAGATGCACTTTATCTGTTCACATTGTCAGTTTGCCTTAATAATTTCAACACTTGATGAGTTTATATGCTTAAGAAGCTGGACTAAGCTGAAGGAGAATCAAATCGCCACTCCCGTTCTTTCCTCCTGGGACAAATAAACAGAAGAACAATACTGTGGATAGTCTCTCAAGTGGCTGAAGTTGCAATTTCTATAGAAAAATACGGTGGTCTGTGAGTGACCCAAGGAAGCCAGGAAGGGTGTATGAATGCTGTGATTATGCACACAGGGGCCACAACAGGGACTTTGGGATAACATCTTTGACATAGCCAGCATTCAAGACTGTTGTGACAAACGCTGTCACGGTGAAGCCTTTTCTCTAACCTCAAATGCATGAACGTAGTCCTGGGGCAGAGCATGCAGGAGGTGAAGATCTGATCTGATGCAGAAATGATGTGGAACGCCTAATTCACAAGCTCCAATCTTCGTGTGTACCTGTTCTTTTGCACATACCATTATGCATGCCAGTGCAAATGCGTGTCCATGAGGGCATAACAGAGCCATACTTGTATGTATGTGTTATACAAAGTGCACATATCCACTCACGCCTCTGCAGGTTTTTCTGTGTGCAAGCTTGTGTATGCATACATCAGTGCATATACACGCCCCAGCATACACCCACACTTGTCTGCATTTATGAATGTAAATGTGCATGCATGCCCAGGACTCATTCTTTCTCCCTTCTTGTTCTTCAGTTTAGAGACGGCCAAATCTACCTCCCAGACGCCCCCAGTTGACCTCGGCATGACTTTCTCCCAGCCCCTCACCCCTTCGCCAGCCCCAGCGCTGACAGCAGTGGCCGCGCCTCCCCCAGCCTTGCTTGGCGCTCCCTATGCCATCTCCCTCTCCAACTTCATCGGCTTGAAACCTGTCCCCTTCTTGACACTGCCTGCTTCCTCGGCCACAGGGCATAACGGCAGCCTTGCTACCTACACGACCAAGATCTCCACAGCCAATGCCAGCAAGAAAGCTGAGAGACAGAAGTTCTCCCCATACTGAACGGGAAGGCGGGCTGTGGAGCAGGTGAGGGGACTCCTTTGGGGACCCTCGCATGCTTTGATAGAAGGCATCAGCACCTGGCCACTCCAAAGCAAGACTGCATGGGGAGAGACTAAGCAAGGGGTGAGGGGAAAGACAATGGTATAGGAAAGCAAGGGGATGGGAGGAGTGTGCTCTGGACCACTGCTGAGAGCAGTGCTGCCCAAGAGCCGGTCAGAAATGGTTCTTCTGCATAGATCCTGCCTGATCCTGGCTGAGAGTTCTTTCTTGAGACTCATGACTTTATCTCTGTCGAAGAATTCCTCTCCCACACCTGGAAGTATTATTTTCCTTTACCTTCTGTAAACCTACTTGACCTCCTTCAGGAAAGAGCTCCTCTCCATCTGATTGCCTGCCATTTTTCTAAATTTTAGGAAAACAGGTTGCTTAAGGCAAATTGGAAAAGAAAAATCCACCCATTAGTTTGCAGTATACTGAAGGAGCTGGAGGTCTTGGGAAAGGCTGCATCTTGGTTGTGACAGTAGGCAGCTTGGTAGATCTGTGATGTTGACAATAGAGAATATGCTGTATGTTGTTATGGGCGCACCTAGAGAAGGCTTTGTTGTGTCATCACACTGCCACCCTGCTTCATGGCATTTTGTGGGGATCCACTTGTCTTCCCCTTGTAGCCTCCCCATGTTTCCCTATCACGTCTTCCACCTTTTTTTCTTACCATAGAAAATCCAATAAGAAGAAAACAGGCAGAATAACTGCACCATGCCTTTTTTGTTGATAGCACTAGGAGCCCTCTGTCTGGAAACACACTTGGATTGCATTTTCAAGGGCAGAACTAGAAAGGTTCTGATTTAGACAGAACTGGAAGGTACGTAGGGCCTAGATATGTCAGGATGCACCAAAAAAGAATGTACCAAAAGTGGGGATCCACTTTGATACTATGCTTCTCCTAATAAGAATAGAAGAATACTTCTCCTAAATAGAAATATGAAAAAAAAAAGCTTTTCAGGATTCTTCAGGCCAGCCTCAAGATCATACAGGATTCTGGACTATTCCTTCTAAAAAAGAATAAAAATGGGTTGAAAGGAATCGCTTTCATCAGATGCCCCTCTGTAGGTTGCAGGAGGTGGCACAGCAAACATGGATGGATAATTGGCTTTTCCTCACTGATCAGCTGAGCGATGACTAATCACAAATAGGACTGACCTATTACTGGATTAGCACTTCCAACACTGGCTCATAAGTGGTTGACATCTACCCTCATATTCTACTTTGGGGCAGATACCACAGGAAGCCTCTCTTTGGCGAGGCATGTCTTATGTTGTCATGCCAATAATGCATCCTTGATTTTTATTTCATGGGATGGTGTCTCCAGTAAGTGCTACCAATTTTGCTCTCGTCCATTACACTGCAACCATTAGCGTGGGTACTCTGAATGTCCCACTGTGTCCAGTGAGGCTTACCTGTGAACATGGGAAGCTGCCTTAGAAGAAATTCGACTATTGTTGCATCTAAGTCAATATTACATATGCTGGCTTGCAGCAGTTCTTCCAGGTTTAAGGCAGGGGTCTTTCCCAGCCTCACCTGAAGATTCCAGGCACTGATCCTGTGAGTTTCTGCTTCAAAGCATGAAGTCTACCACTGAGCGATGGACCTTCCCCAGAAGGGAACTCCATGGTAAGTGGACGTAGGATTGCAGCCATAGTGATTTGGTCAATTCTGCCACATGCTATTCTCTGAAAAGGCTCCCCATTACCATACCTTCTTCCTCTGTTGACATCATAAAGACACTTGTCCAGTCAAAACATCTGGGGGAAGAGGTGGCAGCCAGAGACACGGAAGCATTTTCCCATCTTGATGACTTTTGATTAAAGTTACTGACATGTATGCCTAGTATGTCTGACACTTGTGATTTAGGCTTTCATCCTAACAGCATATAATTCACACTGCTGCACTCAGTAAATGTCCCAATGTATTAAATATACCATATAGCAAAGGATCCCACACTCCGTTTCTTAGCTGGTTTGCAAATCATTGTACCTTCATTGAAGTGGGTCAGCATGTAACCTGGCATACTGTGTTTCTCCAGTCAACATTGCGGTGTTCATTGCAAATTCTTATCATTATAAGGCATTGAATGCAATGTTAGTTTTGAATGAAACTGAGAAAAATGGTAATTAAAAAAGCCATCCCTGAATTTGCTGTTTGCCTACTCCTCCTATTAAAACAGTTGGTTCACCATCAGCAAAGGTTAGTCCCAGGGCTGGGTTCTGTGTCTGCATCAAAGTAAGTTAAAAACCTGCATGCAGTAAATCCAAATTCTGTGCCATAAAAAGCTCATTTCTATGACCTGCATAAATTATACATTTCTCCTGCACAGCAGAATACATTTTTCTTTCTGCTCATTATGTTGGATTGATAATTATGGGGAAAGCAAAGCACCAGCACCTCCACAGTCACTGGGAATCTAGTTAATCTGCCTCTCCTAAGAGTTCAGCAAGCACAGCTCACCCACTTTCATGCACATCTTTGCAGCAAATCTTGTGCATTTCCTTTGGGAGTCAACATAGCACCCTGTTTATGTAAAGCTTACACTATTAGGTTGCTACACCAAAGCTGTACAGGGGAAAAGTCTATTGGACTTAAGAAAAATGGGGCAAACAATGGGATTAGCAATACCAGTGCAATAGGCAGTGGCATCTCTTGCTTACTAATGGATTAGTCCTCCATTACAAATGGTTTTGGTGGCAGTGAGTAGGTCCCCCTGCCCTCTGTAACTGCAGCCAATGACTGAGAAAAATTCTAAAGATTCATATATCTAATAAGTCAAATTCTCCAATGATTTACATCTGCGTTGGTGCAGTTCATTATTTCAGTTGTCCAAGAAAGGGACAAAGCCAAAAAAATCCTATTCCTACAGAACAATCCAACCATTTGTCCGTTTGGCATTGTACCCTGGCTGGTACAAATTTCTAATTCTCCTCTATCACTTGCTGGCAAAATAAAAAGTCCTCCCATCTTTTCTTGCTGTTCTGAGGAACTTCCCTTTCCTTATCCCATGATCCTCTTTCGCTTGCCTTTCAAAATGCTGTACATATAATTCTATATTTTTCCTCCTTTGTAACTTATCATTGATTTAATAAAAATGCAAACTTTGTCAACTCAGAGGTTATGTGATCAGAATTTTGTACATTTCAATCAGACAAAATAAAAATCTCAAACCAGCTATTTGAATGATTTAATAAAAAGCAAAATAGAGAAAGCCTGTGCAATGTTTTCCCTAAAAAATAAATAGTTGTTGGAATTGCAACTTCCCCCAGACTCCGCTGCATAACTGGACTCCTGTTCTTTTAAACATCTGTATTCTCAGCCAGAAAATTGAGGGAAGGTTTTCCTGTTGCTGTGTTGAACAAGTGTGTAAAATGTCACATAATTCCATTTCTATTTGACATGGAGGTGTAAGGGAACAAAAGAAAAATATGAGATAGGTGTGTGTGTGTGACAGAGAGAGAGAGAGGAGAGGGAGAGAGAACACAGAGGGAATCCCAGAACATGTACAGATTCACATGTTTAGTTGATTCAGAAGCACTTCCACTCAAACCTCAGTCATGTAATGTAAATCAGAACCACACCATCCCTGCACAGAAAAATATGCACAAGGCTTGGAGGATCTATTCTCTCACCATTACCGTGGTGTACACAGTACCCTTGGAGGGGCCCTAGGGAGGATTTAGCCCAACCTGCTTCATAACAGGACCATCCACACAGCAGGGCTCTACAGGTGCAGGACTCATACAACTGTCAGTGGAAGGGGCCTGATTTAACGTGTTTGTATCCCACTCCTCCTTCAAGGGTCTTGGTGCATGTGTGGATGCTCTCATTTTAGCCTTACAACAACCTAATGGGGCTAGAGGTGCGACCCTTTGTGTGCTTACTTGGATGCAGGCCTCAGTTTTCAGTGGGGCTCATTCCCCATGAAGCACATCCAGGGGTAATTGGCTCAGCTTTACCCCATGAGCTTAATACCTAAGGAGATTTCAAACCAGATCTCCCCAGTTCTCATGCAACATTCTATATATTTAAAAGGCCTATATATTTAGGCCAGGGTGGGCAACTTGTGCCATTCCAGGTTTTTTGGGGCTAGAACTCCTGCCATCCCTTATTGCTGGCTATGCTGACTAGGGTTGATGGGACGCTGGGAAAGACTTTAGCCAATGGGTGGTATAAAATGCTATCATAGCAGACCAAAGCATTTGGAAAGCCACAAACTGTCCTCTGCTTTAGGCTGATCTAACCTGATGGTTGCCACGGCAGGCATGGCTCAGGACCATGCAAGCTGCACATACTGTATGCATGACCCAGGCCTGGCTTTTGTGTTGTGCTGGCAGCGGAGCTGCTGCAAAGCAGTGAAATACTTCTCCCTCTGCCAGCATCAACCATCTGGGACTTTTGTGCTTCAGAATATTCCTGAAGCAATTAAGTTTCTATGCAGAGCTCCTAATTAAAGAGCCAAGTTCATGTGCTACTGGTATAAACAGTCCCTGTCAGCACAGATTCCTCAAAATGCTAGTTGCCACCAGGTAGCTACAAAAGATTATGAGCCTTGTGCTCAGTTGGTATGGCAGTGATAGTGCCACTTCATTAGGGGGCAGCCCTAAGCACACTTTCTGGGGAGAAAATTCCATTGAACGAACTACTGAGCAAATTTGTGCAGACTTTTGCTGCATATAAAGGAAGTAAAGAGTGTTTACATGTGGGGGGGTGTATTACTCTCTAGATGTTGGACTGCATCTCCCATCAGGCCTAGCTAGCATAACCAGTGGTGAGAGACCATGGGAGGTGTAATCCAACAACATCTGAGCAGTCCCATGGCTCCAATCCCTGCTCCGGATTGGCTTTCCGCAACCTGGTGTCCTCCAGCCCATTTTATGGAACGGTGTCCACATTGTGCAGTGGCAGAGAAGAAAAGGGCTGCTCTGGCAAGGTGCCACAGAGAAACACTTGCTCTGCTTACAGTTTAGCAGGCACCTCCCTGCCCAGGAAAAATGCAGCATACCTGCATGGCATACTTCTCGTCTGGTGGCGGTAGAGGCCTGCAACTGACCCGGTGAGTGCAACGCGCTGGCAAGTAAACAGCCCCGTTGCGGTTGCTGTGGCAACCAAGAACTTAAATCAGGGCTGCCTCCCAGGCTTCTCATTCACATAGCAACAGGCTTTGCTCCTTGCACACGGGCAGGCTTAGGCCACATTAGAACTAGTGGGGGTGGTCACCTATTCTAGTTCAGGAAGGGGCGTCCTCGCCTTGAAGCCATCCTCTATTTGAAGCGTTTTCTAGTCCAAATTTGCTTTAGAGCCAAAGAACCACAAGATAAGAGAACAGGAGGCTCCTCAAAGGTGCCCATCAACAGCAGACGCCTGAACAGTGGACTGATCATGCTCACAGGGAGTTTCTTCTATGGGACTTACGACCTAGGCAGTGTCACTAAGCTGCACCTTTAATGAGGTGGTGCTATCACTGCCTTCTCAACTGAGCACAAAGTTCATAAACTTTTTAGGTACTAGTGGCTGCCACCAGCATTTTGGGAGTCTGTGCTGTCTGAGAGGGGCTCTATACACCACTAGTGGTAGACTTGGCTCTTTTATTAGTATCTCTGCATTCAAACTTGCATTGCTTCAGAAATATTTTAGTATGACACTCCCTTGGGTACCTGAGTGCCACAGGCCTGCTAGAAGAAATTGGGCATTGCTACTGCCAGTCACCTTGGAATCCAGGAAGGATGGTGAATTGCCTGGTTCTCTGTCTACAAGCATGTTAAATCCTCCAATGTCACAATCCCCTCACTTTCAGCATGTGCAGCCCTTTGGGAAATAAATAGGGAATACTTACTCCTCTCAAACAAGAACTGGAATATAAATTTTGCATCATGGTAACCAAACTTATAATACTTCAAATTTAAATTTAGTACTAATAAGTAACAACACCAAATCAAATAACATTTAATGGGATATCTGTGGCAGACATAATAATAATCAGGTCAAGTGCTTGTTGCAGGAAACATTACAGAAAAAAGTGTGGCAAACATACAGGGTAGGCAGAAAGAGGCGAAAATCAGGACTGCACACAGTTCATTGACACACTTTTCCTGGCTGTTGTATTGATGGTGGTCCTGGCTTCAGGGGAAACCTGGGGTAAGAAGTGGCAAAATGAATCGCAGGAACCACAGTCTAGAATTCCTCAGCATGCAAAGAGTGCACATGCATGAAATCTAACATGCTTTAAGAATCAAACCATCAACAGATTAGCAATAAAATTCTAATGGCAGTACAGATCACATGAACTTATTATGACATTCTTTTAAGCATCAAAATAATCTTCAGTGCACCATAGCAATTTTGCTAATTGCTAACAAATGGTCACAGTGATGTGTATGCTGTAGCTACTGTGGAAATATAACACTCTCTCAAAGGACTGTTCCTTTATATATTTCTGTTCCAAGAAACAAGTCAGAAAATCTCTCACAGAATTCAAGTTTGTATTTCACACAGGGTGCAGGGGCAACACACACCAAAGCACATGCATGATGGCCTTTCACATAGTACAACCATTCATGTGTCCTTTGGTGGACCTACTTATATAAAAATGTAATGTAGAATTGGCCCTGAGAAATTATGTAGGGGTTTTGTCTGGTGAATGTTTCTTGCTCAACTCTGTCTCTTCCAGGTGAGAAGAGGGCTGTGCTTTAATTGCAACAGTGCTGTGGAAAATTGAAACCTTCCTGCATCATTGTTCTGTACTATTTGCCTTGGGAAATGCTCATCCAGCAAGCTTTTATTCTATAGCATTGCCTTTCTCCTTTCATAAATGTGCTGGCAGACGTTGAGACAATGAAAGCCAGGCACCTTTTGATCAAGCCATTTATGCTGGTCTTTAGAGCAGAAGGGAATAGAGTGCAGATGCACTTACTTAGTGACTCACAGCTGAGGAGGAAAACTGCTTGCTGCCTGTTGCATGGCATCTTTTTGTGGCTGGACAACATAGCAAGGGGTAAAGTTGTTAAAGAGTACAAGGCATCATCGCTTTCCTTCTCTAGAGTTGTCAAGGGCCAGAAGCAGAAAAGATCTTCAAGACAGAATCAGTCCAAATAATTGCTGAGTTTTACTTGCATTAACCCACTAAGCCAATTCCATTCCAGCAGAATGGAAACAGAAGGCAGCCTTCAGCTCAGCCCCCGTCTTCTCGGGCATTTAGAACATAGTGTGTGATCAGCTCGGGTGGAGTGTGCTGAGCAAAGTGTGTGGCCCTGAAGGCCACATGTCACAGGGCTGGGTGGCCAAGGGCCAGACACACTCCTACACAGACATGCCTCCCCATCTCAATCCGTATTGCTTCGGATGATGGAGTGGTTTTATCTTCAGGCTCCTGCAGAGGAAGGGAACCTGCAGAGGAAGAAGGTCTGTGGGGATGATTCTCCTTGCGCATTCTGTTTCCCGGTCGATTCAAGCAACCACCAAACACTGAGTGTTGGTTCGGGGGGCAGTGGTGGTAGCAACAGCAACAGTGGCAGTGGCAACAAAGATGGGGGGATTGTAGGGCCAGGGCACTCATACATGCACACACACATACCGAGCTTCATGAACACCCCATCTCTAGCTACACGTCCTCCACAAAAAAGGGTGAACAGATGGCATGGGCAGGGATGCATAAACATATTATTAAAGAACATGATCCTTTCTTTGGACAAGTGCAGGTGGTCTGACTCATCTACCCATCCTTTTCCAACTTGATACTTTCCAGGTGCTTGGGACTACAGCTCCCAGCATTCCTGACTATGCTGGCTAGTAGGAGTTGAACTCCCCAGTATCTAGGGAGCATAAAGTAAGGGAAAGCCAACTTACCGATTCAGTTAGTATCTGAACTAGTCCTAAAACCAGTAGGATCTACTTCTATGTAGTATGCAAAGTGGTGGAATGCTAGGATTAAATTAGCCAAAGAAACCTCAGGGATCATGCAGGATCCCCTGAAATGCAACAGCTGCGTGCAAAAATCCTGCCATGAGAACTCTGCTGACAGCTGTGCACAGACAAGAGAGAGTACAGCTTTCTCTATAAAAACTAGGGAGTGGGGGCAATATCACTAGTGAGATGGCACCTCTGAGAGTCCTGTTTCCTCTGCTTGTCCTATTAACCTCAGCTTCCTGCTGTGTAAGAGGCTGAGGTTGCCAGTAGCAGATAAATAAGGTAATCTTCTTCTCATGTGGTGTTACAAAACAGGGTCACAGTTATGAACACAAGGACCATTGCCACTGATACAACCTTGCAAAGGAGTTTTGTATTGATTTTTATGCATGAAACAGTACCTCTGCAACCCAGTAGTGCAATCATGCTATGGAATACACCTGATTCACAGGAAAGAATCAGCTACACAATGAAGAGGTTACTCTTAGATTTTATATTCTCTCCTTTGTGCTCCAAATTGTGGTCCATTTCCTTTGTCCCCTAAATTCAGTGGGGGCCATTGTATAACCCTGCTTCCCATTTCTTGGAAATACTAAAGGGATTTCCCTCAACCTAGTGCCTTTGAGAGGCATTGGACTTCAGCTCCCATAATTCCCCATGGCTAGGCTGTCTTGGAACTGTGGGATTTGCAGTCCAACATACTGGGAGGGAATCAAGTTCAGGAAGTGTGTGCTAGAGCAAGCGTGTGAGAGCATGCAAGAGTGGGGAGTGCCTTACCTTTTGTTCTTTGCACTGGAGCTATGGCTTTTCACACATCTGGGAACTGATGGATGCGGGACCAACTCCTACCAAGTACTCACTGGAGAATTAATCCTCATTCTCTCTGGGAAAGGAACCGTGCTGGGGTGGGGAACCCATGGCTCTGCAGATGCTGCTGGCTTGCAGCTGCTACCATCCCTGACCATTGGCACTGCTTGGGGAGGCTGATGGAAGCTGACCATCCCTTCAGTTTTTTCTTAGCTGCTTTACAAATCTGACAGTTCCATTATTAGTTCAGTCTTTTCTTGGCTCATCTAGTGGCAGCAGTAGAGTGACTGTGAATTAAATGTTCCAAAGGAGCATTTCCAGCTGAGTACATTTCTCCATGCTGCACAAACTAGACAATAAAAGAATGGGGCAAAGGTTCATAAAAAAAATCCAAGTTGGAGTATTTTATTGGAGTATAAAGTTGGAGTATTTATTTGTTGCTTACGGTTTCCTCTAAGTGCTTGTTACAGAGGTTAGACTTCCAATGGGGGTGGGGGGTGGGATGCAGAATTCAGAGGAAAACTTCAGCATGGAGTAAGGAGGTCCACCATACCACAAAGGAGAACTGCAGGTGGGCTGGCATTCTTGTAGGGCAAAGGCATACATAGTTCCTGAGCAAAGTCATGGCATCTTTTACTGCTCCTCCTGTATTTATTTATTTATTTATTTATTTATATCCTGCCTTTTTCCTACAAAGGGCTCAAGGCAGCTTACATCATTCTCCTCCTCCATCTTATCCCCACAACAACAACCCTGTGAGGTAGGTTGGGCTGAGAGTCTGTGACTGGCCCAAAGTCACCCAGTGGGCTCCATGACTGAGCGGGGACTAGAACCCAGGTCGTCTGAGTCCCAGTCCCATGCTCTTAACCACTACACCACACTGGCTGTCCTACCAATTGGTAGTATCTACTACCAATTCTCCCTACTACAGGGAGGTGGGGCAGGAGGGAGTCAAGCTTTTCACCATCTGTAATGGTCCCCCTTAGCAACTATTTTCAGAAGCCTCTGGCACATTGTTTAGTTAAAGTCCCTGCTGTCTTTCCCTTCACACTTCCAGCAAACTGTGTCACATAGATAGTATCTAATGAGCTAATTAAAAATGATGAGATACAATGACTAGTGCTTCTAGAAATACCCCACAAAGGGGGATCCACACTACGGTTCTGCAGGGAGTCTTCTGCCTACACCAGCCTTTGTCAGCCTAATGCTCTCCCATTGCTCCTAGCCAGCATGGCCAGAATGAGAATTGCAGCCCAACACACCTGGGAGGCACCATCTGGGGAAAAGCTGTCCTACCAAGTTCATTTATCTGCCATCTCCTCTTTGTCCTCACCAGTCAACAGCTGGGACAGAAGCAGTTGCCGGACCTGTGCAAGGACTACACAGTATGTGACAGTTATCATCCACAAGAAAGCGGTGTCTCAGAGGACTTGCTCTATTGCCATTCTGTACTTTTGCATTAAAAGTTGCCCAGTGGCTGAGCTGTTAGACTTGCCTTTCCCATCTCCCTAGTTTTCCTTGCCAAGACACAGGATACTCATGACCTGCTTCCTCATTGGGAATTCCAGCCTAATGTCTGTGTCTATATAAGAAACAGAAAAAAGAACGAAAAGAGCTCCTCCTAGCATCCAGATTCCACAGGCGTTGGAGGAAGCGCTTTGTCCCTAGCCCAGAAAGAATGCTACTTTAATATGGGCCAAGCACAAAGCTGTCTTACAAAGCAAGGGAGCTTCAGCTGGCCACTTGTGCCTCATCCAGTTTTGGCACAGGCCTCCTGTGTCCCAGGCCTGAAGGGCTTATTGTAGATGGTCTCCCTGCCTGCGGCTGTCCCTTGCTGGATCAGGGCAATTCTACCCTTAGACAAACAAAATCTAATTGGAAATACCCCACGGTTTGGCTTCCATTAATGGAAGGTTGTTAGAATATGTCATCATTTGGTTAGGAAGATTGCTTTCCTCCACCCCTACTCCATTTCTCTTTCCCCTTGTCTGTCTCTTTTCAAAATGTTTCTTCCATTGGAAGACTTCTACTGAAGGCTGTCTTCCATTTGGAAAATTCCACCATCTTTCCTCAATCTTGTTCCATCCTTTTCCTTTCAAAAACAAAATTCTTTAAGGAGGAAAAGAAGGCATAGCTGCACAATTTCTTGAAAGCATTGGGAACCCTCAATCAAGAAGCCCACATGCCCCCAGGACCACCCTAGGCTGATCCCTATGTAAGTTTCCTCAAAAGTAGGTCCTTCCGAATTCCACCGGCCTTACTCCTAAAGGAAGGATGTGTGCATAAGACAGCAGCCTTCTCAGTCAGGCGACCGACAATTCCTTGCTGGAGCAAAAGACTGCAGAAGCCAACCAAGCTGTATCATCACCAACTGCTATTTATGAAGGCAGCACCACAAGTTTTCTGGGTTCATACGCCTCTGAAAAAAGTGGAGCAGCCCTCTACAAATGAGTAAGCACTTAGTAATGCCATGACATAATAACTCCACATCTTACTCTGACAGTCTGTATTTGTCACATCAAGCCAATGAAGATGCTGCTTTCACTTTGGATTAAGGTTGACTCACTAGAACTGCCTTCAGGGGAGCAGGTATTGCCCCGTCTTGGCCTACCGCTGCTGTGGGTTGTCTCATCAATCCTAGCTTTGCCTGTCGATTTCAGCTACATTTTCTATGCTGTCAAAATGTACCAAGTGATGCAGCAGCTACACAGACACAATAGCTCTGCTCAGCCGGCAAGAATCAGCTCTCTTTCTGCCTTAGTCAGGAAACAAAACCAGTAGGATGGCTTCCTTTTGAATTCTTTCTCTTTAACAGCCTTATCTCTAATCATTCCAGGATTATGCACAAAGACCATAGAAACTAAAACATGTTTCTTTGCAATAACCACCAGTGATCAACGACCACTCAACATATTGATAGGATACTGATAAATGCCTATTTTGGAAATTGCCATAAAGCAGAGGAACACCAGTAGTTGGCATTTCTATACCATGGCCTTACAACTGTCTTTAAACATTCATTTTCTCTCCAGAGGAAAACATAGGAATGACTGCTCCATAAAGAACAAGAGAATTATCAGATCCGCATCAAGCTACAATTCCCAGGATTCTTTTCAAGAAGACATAACAGTGATAGAACCAATATAGAACCAATATACATTTCCAGTGTTGATCTTGCCAGTGAGCAGAGGATAAGGCAAAAGGAGAATTTCCAGTATGTGGACTTGAGCCTTCATCTCCATCCTCCATTCAGAGGAGACCGGCACCTATCCAGAGCATTGCACTTTTGCTGCCAAACAAAGATTATGGAGAGAGGAGGTCATCTGGGAAACTTGTTTATGTTATGAAATTTCAAAAACCCTCTTTGAGAGGAGTGGCAGAATTAACTCTGAATAAATTATTTGCCCTATTCTGTGATTTGTTGAGGGCCTTCCTTGCCTTGCTCTTACTCAGACTTAGGTGAAAATGTAGAATTGACCCAGGACCTCTATGCACCTTCAAAAGTTTAAATAAGCACACAGAGATGCTTCCCATGCAGACCTTCCAAATCTCCATTGGCAAATACTATGGTTTCCGTCTTTAGATCATAAACCTCTGTATTTGGACCATTCCAGACAAAGGGGGTTTTTTACAGAAGGAATAGAGAGTAGTTAACTATTTACTGCATATGATTAAAAAACATTCCCACACCTAACATCTGAGTTCCTGGGAAAACCAAAACTTCTACACTGGGAAAGTGCAGTGTTTCTTCCTACAATGTTGCTGATAGAGTAATCCATGTTGTGTGGCTCATGGTTGCTCTGGTATTGTAGGTCATGATGAATTCCACAAGTTCCCCATGTGTGTTATTTAGCAGCTACCACTTCCTGTTACCTTTGCAAGTTAGGTGATCCACTCTTCAACATTGAAGCTCATGTTTTAAACAACTTGTTTTACAGCAAGCAAAGAAACAAACTAAGCAAGAACCTGGCAATCGCTATCTGCTACAAAGCTAAATCTGTTCCACTGGGGAGGAATAGCACCTTTGGCACTGACTTAAGGTTAACAGTACGTTAGTGCTTATAGCAAGCACTTGGGGGTATGGGATTGGCCGGAAAGCCCTTACACACAACACTACCGTCTACTGTCTGCAGATATTAAGTCTGGTGTCCTGGCACCTTCCCAACTTGGTACCTCCGAATGTGTTGGATGACAACTCACAACATATCACAGGTGGCCATGCTGGCTGGAGGATGCTGGGGGTTGTAGCCCAAGACATCTGGATGGCCCCACATTGGCTGTCCTAGATGTTTCCCTACAGGATTCTAGTGGTTCAGCTGATTCGGATCGCACCAGTTATGGCCTAGTCAGCCATGGGGAGTGTGGGTGATGACACTTAATCACACTGACTCTCATACTTAAGATGAAAGCAATTGTTCAACTGCAGGTTTCTCCCACAGAGTCTCAGTCAGTTACTTCAGTGCCTTGACCCTTCTCTTCTTGCCCTTAACTGAGAGCTCAATGGGAAGAGATATGGACCTGATGTGAACACACCCGTTCTGTCATCAGTTGGTTTCTTCTGGGATTTGTCCTGGAATTCGGAATCCCGTGGCAGTCTGATCCAGAGTGTTCCTTGGGCTGGAATTGATGTAGCTGGAACGGGTCTCTATTGTGCAACTGGTCCTCTGCAGGAACTGCAGAAAGTTCTCATGGGTGGAGCCTTCTGGGCTGGAGATGCACAGCTCCTGACTCAGGGGCTTGCTGAGGCAGTGGCGACCCAGCTTAGCCAGCTCTTCCCTTATTTGACGGTTCAGTAAGCCATAGAAAAAGGGGTTGATAGCAAATGAGGAATAGGCAAGCCAGGTCACAATGATCTCACCATAGTCAGGGATGGAAGAGACAGAAGTAACGGAGCAGTGTAGGTGGAAGGAGAAGAATGGGAGCCAACAGCAGAGGAACTGGCCTACAATCAGGACCAGTGTCAGGGCAGCTTTATTCCCACCAAACAAACGTTCTGGAGTCATCCTGGGAGGTGCATTCCTGGTTGTGATGATAGTGACTTGGCTGTGAATGGAGTCTGACCTTTGCCTGGGAGTGGCCGTCCAGGATGGGGCAGGAACATGCTGCAAGGATGCAATCCGGGCCACTTTGTAGATGCTGCCATAGACACCGAAGATGATCAAGGTGGGCAGGATGAAGCAGAGAATGCTGAAGATGATCACAAAGATCTTCTTGTGGGCCCCAGGGCTCCAGGAGACAGTGCACTTGCTGGCACTGCTAGCGCCATTGTCTTGGGGCCAGCCAACCAGCGCCAGCGCGGCCACAAGGATGGACTTAATCCAGATGAAAAGCACAACAGTGGCTGCCAGCCGAGTCGTCATCTTGACTTCATATCTCATGGGGTGGACGATGTAGTAGTACCGCTCGATGCTGATAACAGAGATGGTGAGGATGGAGGCACTGATGAAGCAAACGTTCAGGAAGATCAGGGTCTGGCATTCTGCAATGCTGTATAATACTCTGTTAAAGCAGGTTGAGCTGGAGATGATCCCCAGTGGCATGATGAAAATGGCTGACAACAGATCAACTAGACAGAGATGGCAGACAAAGATGAACTTTCTCAGAAGGGGTGTCTTGAGGATGACAACCATGACAGCTGTGTTGGCCACCAAGGCAATGACGCTCAGCATGACCATGAAGAAAATGCCGATGGCCTCCTGAAACTGGGACACCCCTGATGCGTCCAGCCCCTGGGTAGAATTAATCCTGGTTTTGTTGACCATCGTCCCCTGAGGTCTGCTTTACAGCAGCCTGTGCCTGAACAGCAAGAACTGCCAGTGAGTGTTTGGAATGTCTGTCACTGCCACCATCTTCTTTTCTGGTAGTTTTTGATTCCTGTGGGAAAAAAACAAAATTTAGTAACATAGTGGTGAATGGAAAAGAATAGTCATCCCCATTGGCCATGTTTCATGCAAATTATGGGAGTTGCTGTCCAACGCATCCACAGAGCACCAGGTTGCAGGAAAAGGGTAGAATGTGCGAGAACACAGTGGGAGGCAAGGTGACTTGATGGGAGGCAAGGTGACTTGACTTAACCATAGCAAAAGAAATTCAAGGTTACCACCATTCTGGAAACTGCCTCTTTGTTGAACACATAGGTGCTATAGGAAAGGATGATGAGGCACATGGTCCTATGACACACAGGAAACTCAAAATTGCCAGGGTGGAGAAATAGCTATGCTTTCCAAAAGACTATCCAGACATGGCTTGGTTAAAACCCAAGGTCATTGGGAAGCTTGTGGATGTCAATAAAAATACTTAGCTGCTTCTACCACAGGTATTATGGGCACTGGCATGATCACTGCTACAGCTCCTACCTGTGACTTTCTCCATCCTATTCAAGAATAATTCGTTACTCCTTTCAGAGTCTTGTTATGCAGTCCTAGGCCAAGGAGGAGAACCTGTTGGAGTCGGCAGCATTTACCCATGTGAGCCGTGGAGGCACTGGTTCCTTCTGGGGGACCAGAAATTCCACTCCAAGGAATCTACCAAAACCTTGAGAAGGGAGCAGGAATCTCCCTGCAGGCAACTAAAAGCTAGCGGAGGGGAAGGAGGAATCTGTGTTCAGGGGAGTGTATACTCCACTGTAAATATGTTAAGGGCTGCTGCATTAAGACGAGATTGAACATTCTGCTCTTTTAAATTAATGCAGGAAGATATACATGGAATGTGACACTGGGTACAGAATCAGCTCCCTGAGAACTTTAGAATTCCTTATCTTAAAAGCAAGTTTTTAGGCTATGTGACTATAAAAAGAAGCTTGTCAATATGTGAATAATGCCTAGTGAATCCCAGAAGCAAGTAATAAGATTTTCTTGAGTCTGGGGGATGATTTTCAGTGCATTGCCCAGTTCCTTCCTCTCCCCAGGAATGGCAAAAAGCAGATTAAATTATGCTAAGCCAGAAACTTGTACCAAATGTCCTTGGCTTCATCCAGTCCAGACAGGAGACTTCTAGTCCTAACAATCTTCCACTGTAAGCTACATGCAGTATTGAAACTGATTTCCAACACTACTCAGAAAATTGCATTTTTCCTCTATGCTCAACACACTAAGTTCTGCCCACACCAATAACAGTGATATCCAGTGTAACTATAACTGATTCTAAATGTCCTGGCATCATTGAACCAGCAACATTTATAAATCTAAGCAATATGCTCCTTCTTCAATCAACAGCAACAGCAGTAACAATGTACAGCTCTTTGCAAAGTCAAAATATTCTTTCATGCACCATTAGGAATATCTGGGTAGATTCTACTGGGGCACAGCCCCAAAAATAATGGCATCTATATCTCTAAGAAGAAAAACAATTTTCTAAAATTTATGTAATAAATTTTTGTAATTTGTTTAAAATGAAAGATTTGAAATATTTTGAAAATGACAATAAATGAATAAAACAGAAAATAGATAAATTTAAAAATGCTTAAAGGGGCAAATAAAATTTAGGATCCAGCACTCCAGCCCCTCTGCCTGGTGGCCTGGAAAGCAGCACATAGCCATTATGACTACTAGCTGCTTACATCAGATTTTGCTATTGCCATTTCTATCCATTACAATTTCCTTTCATTTTCAGTGTAAAGTGATTCATCTTTTCTCAGGTTCCCTTTCACTCTGTTAAAAGGTAAAAGGTAAAGGTTTCCCCTTGACATTAAGTCCAGTCATGCCTGACTCTAGGGGGTGGTGCTCATCTCCATTACCTAGCCGAGGGAGCCAGCGTTTGTCCACAGACAGTCTCCGTGGTCATGTGGCCGGCATGACTAAACACCGAGGTGCACAGAACGCTGTTACCTGCCCACCGAAGTGGTACCTTTTTATCTACTTGCATTTGCATGCTTTCGAACTGCAAGGTTGGCAGGAGCTGGGACGGAGCAATGGGAACTCACCCCGTTGTACAGATTCGAACCAGCGACCTTTTGATCAACCAGCCCAGCAGCACAGTGGTTTAAACCACTGTGCTACCTGCAGTCCCCCTGCTGAGGTCTTAATTGCAACTCCTCACCACCTATGCTGGTGTGCATATGGAAATCAATCCTTAACTTTTCGGGCTGACCAGTTTCTCATATGGGGGGTAGAAACCACTCAGGTGAGCCCCCAGTTGAGCAGATAGCATTTGGTGATGTCCTGATGAGGCCTGGCAACCTGGAAAACATCCATCCATTGAGTGCAGGTGAGCCTTATACCTGGGAGAGTCCATGAAGAATCCCTATATTTTCTTCCATATTATGGTCCTGCCTTATGCTGAGATTCTGACATCAAGAAGGGGTTTATCACTGATTTGCACAGAGGCTGCCTCTTTAAACCCTGAAGAAATAAAAGCAAAGCCAACAGCCTGCACCGTGAATCCACCACTTATGCAAGGACAGAAAGTGATCTAGGGAGGCATTTAACTGAGTCACCCTAGGCTGACTTCTCCACACATTTGGGAGGAGGGTATTCCTGATAGACCTTATCAGGGTCATCACTGGGGCAGGCAGTGGTGGCTTTCGGAACAGTATCTTGATAGGTGGAACAGTTTCTCGTTGGTTGCGGTATGTTTTATCTCCTTAAGCTCAGAGCATGTGTGCTGTTTGAAGTAGGCCTCAGAGAACGTATTTCAACCTGGATTCCTTTTCAGTCAGCATGGACAGAGCTGGGCTTGGATGAAGCTCTCTATTCTGCACATCCCAGAGCTTTCCCGAAGTGATGCTCCACCACTCACCATGCTGCAGAGCGAGAAGCCTTGGAATCGAGTTTCAGCCAGCATCATCATCGGAGACAAGCATACAGTCCACCCAGCTGTAAACTGGAAGTAACAGTGCTTACCTGCAGGGGAGCTATGAGGATGAGCTGAGAACTGGACAAGTCACAGAAATCATATGCTTCTCCCTCCCCACCAAAATTCCTCATGCTAGTAGTTTCTGGGAATACAGTTTCAACCGCATCTTTATGTTCCCTTGTCGGTTTCCAGTTGGAAGAGCTAGCAACCTACTACCTGGGTGCACATATTGCTTTAAACCAGGGTATTGTTGAAGCACAGTGCATTACCAGTGTGGTGCACTGGTTAAGAGCACATGACTGGGACTCAGGCGATCTGAGTTCTAGTCCCTGCTCAGCCATGGGGCCAACTGGGTGGCTTTGGGCCAGTTAAAGAATGTCAACCTGTCCTACCTCACAGGGTTGTTGTTCTGAGGATAAGATTGAGAGCAGCAGCAGGAGGAGAAGGAAGTAAGCTGCCTTAAGTTGTTTCTTTGTTTCTGTTAGGGTATGGAATGGGCTTCCACAGGAGGTAGCTGAAGCCCCAGCGGTGATGGTGTTTAAGGATAGGCTGCACATGCACATGATAGGCATGTCATGAGCGGAGCCGGCTAGAGCTGGGGTCAGACTAGATGGCCGAGGAGTCCCCTTGTGACTCACTCTGTTTCTATGTTTCACAGCTGCCATCACTCCCTACCATTGGCTATTCTGACTAGGGATAATGGTAGCTGCAGTGCAACAGCATTTGAGGGGGGGGGGCAGGAGGCATGCTCCTCATCCCTCCTTTGAGCCCTGAATCATGGCTTAACAACAGCAACTTGGAACATGAACAATCGGCATGTTAGGATGTGCAGCCTGTCCACTCCTGTCTTGCATCTCTCTTTGCTTCTTCAGAAGGACGCTGCTCCTGCCAGGCAAAGCCTTTGAAGCTCAGTTTGCTCCCTGCTATGTGAGCCATCTTTTCACCATGTGTGTGTGTGTCCAAGTCCACCTTTTCCAGGTACACCATCTGTCATTCACTTTCTGTGTCTTGCAAAGGGGCTCTGTGCTTGAAAGAAGGCTGCTCTGGCCACTTCCAGAAAACCTCCAGAGCCATGTCCCTGGAGAAGCATGCATGTGGTGGATTCCATGCCTCTCTAGCCACATCTGCAAGATGGAGTCATGAGGTCTGGTGCAGATTACTTGGCTTCCTTCCAAGCTAGCATGATGCCCCCCAAGGAGGACCCAGTGCTGGAGCAGGAAGGAAATATATTGTTCACCTGACCCACATTACCAGAGCGGCAAAGGATCCAACTGTGTGGATGCTGCTTGCTCCCCACTGCTCTGGTAACACATAAATCAGCCTTTTGCCTGCTTTAGCAAAAAGCAGCAGCAAGATGTGAAGATGCCGGAAAAGAAAGTGGAAACAATGTGTGAGTGGGGCTGAAAGAAGCAGAAAAGTGGGAATCCCCCTCCACCCCATTTTCCAATGGTGGTGGGTGCTTCTGGGAGTGACTTTTTTGAGATTCTCTTCTCCCCTTTTCTTTCTCTTTTATCATTTCTTGCCATTTCTGATCAAACCTTGTACTACTGTAGATCTGTATAGCTGTACAGTAGTACAAGGTTTGATCTACTGTAGATCTGTATAGATCTACACTAGATCTACATGTAGATCATGGTGCCAAATGGATTTCCCTCCCCCTTTTTAAATTTAGAAATCAGTCTTCTCAGTGCTATGTGGCCCACTGTTTATTTTGGTGTGCCAAGCTGATATGTTTCCAATTATTTATGTGACATTCCTTGCAGCCCCATTTTGAAGGCCAGGGCAGAACTTTGGGCCAGAAATGCTATCAGGACATCCTATGTGGCAAGGAAGTAGGATACAGGGTGGCTCAAAGTTGACTGGGGAATATGGTTCCCCTCAGATCTCAGCACCTTCTTCAGTTGTTGCCTGAAGCTTTCTACTGAATAAGGAATGAATGGCCAAAGTGCTTTTCCCTAACAAGGCTCATAATAGCTTGTGGGGTAGGAGGGGAGGGCTTTAGATTGGACAGTTCATATGGGGGAACTGTTCCCTTCCCCCTTCCCTTTGAACTGATACATCTAACTGTTAGAAGAGTTCATCTGGGTCTCCCACGTCTTGCAGTTTAGCTCTAAGAGGCAGCAGACAACTTCAGCCTCAATTTCAGCCTTTTGCCTGAAGAATACAGTGCCAATTTTACATTGATCCTCTCTCTCTCTCTCTCTCTCTCTCTCTCTCTCTCTCTCTCTCTCTCTCTCTCTCTCTCTCTCTCTCTCTCTCTCTCACACACACACACACACACACACACACACACACACACACACACGGGGGTGGGGGAGATGTGCATGAATTTTGCTATCTTTGACCACTACACAGGAGCATGCACGCTTCTGTAGGGTTGATGCAGTCTATCCCTTGCCACACATGCAACCCATTGGTCTCTCTTTTCTGGTACTCATACAAGTGCACTTCACACACACACACACACACACACACCCCTTCACATGAATGCACAGCCACATTACACATGCACAGGAGAGCAAACACCTCTTTTCCTCTTTCCTGTGCAGAAATGGTGCATGGTCTGATCCAGCAGGATAATTCTTCCTGAAAGCATGAAGACGCATTCTCAACAACAGATGTATCCTTAGATTGAGTTGCCCGGGTAACTCCACACTTATTAGAGAGGACTCTGGTTAGATTGGGCTCCATCCCAGCCACAAGACTTTGTCAGCAGCTCCTCTGCAAGGTTAACCAGCAGCTTACGCTCCTCTGTCTGCAGCCACATCACTGTCGGGCCCCATCTCTGGGAAACAGCCTCGAAGAAATGGACACTGAATTCCACAACATTTGTAATGGCTGCACATTGGCAATGGAGGCTGGTGGCACAGCAAAAGAAACTGCACTGCCCCCAGTTCAGGACCACAGACAGCTCCCTTACAGTTCCAACTGAAAGCCCAGCACAGATACATCCGCCAGCCTTCGCTGCAAGCTGAGAATGGGCCTGCCATGTCCCATCCCAGGGTAGACAAAGTCCATATTGCCGTAAACTCTGCACGCAGATAACCATGATGCACAGGACGAGACGACACTTGTGCAGTTTCGGCTCGCTCTGCTGCTGGCCGCTCTCACGTCTTCCTCCTTCCTGGTCTCTTTCTCTTATCCGTAACGGCCTTGCCTCTCATTGGGCTGCTGACCCCACTGTCCCACCTCAGCTCAGATCATGGGTGGACCCTCACCCGGCATCCTGGTGCACTGGGTCTGTGCTGCCACCGCTGGTCCCTCCTGGCCTAGATATGCCCAGAGGCAAAACCTCCTTTCACGTGCTACCCATAGAAGGAGCACGGTTGTGCCTGCTGTACTCCTTGCCCAACCTTCAGGTAATGTTCTGCACACGCATGCCTAGGCATGTAGGGTTTTCTCATAACAACTGGGGGAAAGCCTTACATTTCCAGGATCAGGAGAGAAACCTGCGCACAGATGGGTTCTTTGCAGCGCTTTAGTTGGACATACAAAAGCTAGGAGTGGGAGCACCATGTTCAAGCCAACATCGTGTGTGTGTGTGGGGGGGCTGGCGGGCAAGCCCCTTTAAGCCAGCTTTTACATTAAACACTGGCTCACTTTCCTACTTAACACTACAAACCATGGGAAAGATAACTGTTTTCTTTTCTACATCATAGATAGGTTTGAATGCTACCAGGAATGTCGACAACTCTGGGTTCAAGTCTTGCTTGGCCATATCCTCCTGCACAAACCTGTGAATCGCTTACTCCGGAGCCAGAGGCTTAGACATGTTGCAAAAATAATATCCCTTTGCCCACTTGAGATGGTGTTGTTAGCATTTGAGAGAGATGCCAGTTAAAGGCAGGATAATGAAACCCTCTTCAGAATCTGCCACCTGTCACACCACTTCATTGTAAGGCAGGCCCTGATTTCCACAGTGTATCTCATGGGATGCTTCCTTTGCAATACATTTCCTGAGAACCCTGTTCTCACTCTCTCCCACATCCTTTTTGTAAAAATTCAAGCAATAAGACTCTCTGGAATACAGAAGGAGTGTTTCCATCCTGTTAGCTTCACAGAAAGCCTCCATCCACTGAGTGACTTTCAGATACAGGCACAACATTTTGACCTGACGACCAAAGGTCTGTTCTTCCAAATGGCTCATTCCAGTCACAGTTCTTGTGATGCTTTAGGCCACTGGCCCCTCATGTGGGGTTCCCCGGCATAGTTGGAGCACAGCTCTTCCCATCCAAGCCAGCATGGCTAGCAGTCAGGATGGATGGGAGGTGCAGTGGGGAACCCCTGGCTAAGCTTTCTTTGCACTTGCGGCCAGCTGTGTGAGGCCCACTTCTGCACGCTGCAATCCTCTCTTGGGAAGAATGTGTGAATGACACAACCACATTGATAACCCTCCCCAAGTTGTGCTTTTCACACATGCTTTTAAAACAAGGGATCACAGTGCATGGAAGTGGTCGGCTGCTGGCATCCTGTGTGAAAGGGCCTTACAACAGAGTGCAACATGGTCCTTGGTATACCTTCAGGTAGTTCTCTCATGAATGGCAACAATACAAGGGGAAATGATGACAAAGCAGAGCTTCCTTAGGTGTTTCCACCACATGCTGAAGAGGTAATCCATACACAGCTTGGAATTTCAAATTTAACCCAAAAAACAGCATGTCTTTCCAATGACTCAGCCAGATATATGGGAAACAACCTCTGGCTGAATGCATACATTGTGCTCCCTACCACCTGCCCCGCATGGACCATGGCTGAACTGCAGACGGATGACAATTACAGCAACTGAGTTTCAGCCTGCAAGCCTTCGGAACATCCTCTCGCATGGAGCAGTGAAAGAGAAAACAGGGAACAAGCAGACCCAGGACAGGAATCCACGAGGAACAAAAGTTCTGTGCCAATGGAATGGGGAAGAAGAATGCACTGCCTTCCAGAAAGAACGAGGAATAGGCAGAGCGCACACCCCAACACAGCCGGCAAAGCTTCAGGGGGTCTGAAGCAAGGCGAGAAAAACGGGGAAGGGGAAGACACTTTCGGAATTGTTTCCAATGTTTCTGAAAACACTTTGGACCCCGTCTTTTCCCACTGTTATCCAAGAAGGCCATGTTCAGAATATTACATTTCCATTAGAAACTTCCCTTTCATTGCTACTAGGCAGTTCACAGGCAAAGGGCCTTGTATCAGTGAATTCTTTACATCAGCCTTCCCCAACCTGGTGCCCTTCAGATGTGTTAGATGACCACTCCCATTGCCCCCCAGCCAGCACAGGCAATGCTGCTCCTGGCTAGGGGATGGGAGTTGTAGTCCAAAGCAATTTGAAGACATCAGGTTGGAGAAGGCTGTTTTATACAAAGTATTCCCTCTTTACCATATTAACTGCTGGAATGTATTTTTAGACAAGAGGGTGTATTTTTGTTTTTTTCCCCAGTTAAACAGATTGAGGGCAGTTTTCTTTGGTATCTCCCTATGTTGAAACACATTCTCTTCCACTACCATCTTCATTTTCAGCACTCTTCTTTGCACTTCAGTCTGAACTCTTGAATATAGATGAGCAAATTTTGACCCAGCAACCACATTAGTGCCTTACACCAAAAAGTGTTTCTATATTTCTTTGAACCCTGCAGCACCCAAGACCTCTTAGAATTCAAATGGGAAAGCAGGAAGGAAGCTTTCTTCCTGTGGCCCATTCAGTGGAAAGTATTAGTAGCCCACTTCATCTTCCTGAATGAAGCATCAGCCTCCCAATACGGTCTCAGACCTGCTTCCCCCCAGAAGCTCCCCCAAAAAGTCACTCACCCAGCTCAAGCGCACCTGGAGGTTCCTTGGTGGCCCACAGCAATGCTGACTTTGGTTTCCTCCCGCTCAGTGAGTTCTTCATAACTTCCCAGCCAGGGTGAGAGCCGCTTCCGATCCGCCCCACCTGAGTGTCAGCCTTAGCAGCTTCCCATGCTCCGCTGTGTCCTTTTTCCTAGACAGCGAGTTGGTGATGTTTTCCTGGTTTGTACCAACTCCATTTACAGGGAGCAAGGACAATTGTCCTGTTTACACTGAGTGGCTTTGTTTGTGAAATCAAAGTCCTTCCCCTCTGTAGGGAAGGACAGCCTAGGCAAGAGAGCAGTTGCACCCCGAAGGAGGCTCAGCATCAGGAGGATGCTGGGGTGCACAAAATCCCCAGGAAGGCATTGCCTGCTCCTTAGGTGACTGTTAGATTCTCCACACCTGGAATGGAGCCGGAAGGCTGCTGCTGGTGGTGCTGCAGTAGCGGCTGCTGCTGGTTCCCTTGCTGGGGATGGCACAGGCTGTCACATCTGGGCTCTGCCTGGCCTTTTAAAGCACTGTCTGTCATTCGCAGAGAGAATTCTGCTGGGTCCTAAGCACCTCCCATGGTGATGCATAGCAAGTGCTTGGGTGACCCTGGCTTACTCTTGCGGTAGGGCAGGAATTCTGGGGATGCCTGAGGGGATGCCATCCTCAGCCCCACCCAGCAAATAATTGGGCCTGGCTGTCCCAGTCAGATGAACAAGCTGTACCTAGAGAGGAGAAGGAAGCAGGATGCAAAGGAAGTCTTTTTTTTTTTTTTTTTGGTGGGGAAAGCAAAGCAAAAGCAGCCCCGCAAGGTCCATCCTTCCAAGTGCAGGGTTTCTACCCTAGCGATAGCAAAAGAGATCTGGCTATTTTTATACTGCAAAGAGCTCGTCACCTTGGAGGTTCTTCATGTATTTTAGCCCAGCCACAGAGCTGAGTGATGAGCAACATTTAATGTGCATACATTTCCATGAATTAAGATATTGGATGAGCAGCGGGTCCTTGTTTCATTTGATTTAGGTGGAAGCTTGACTCTTATGATTAGCTTATGGCAGCCTTCCCCAGCCTGGTTTTGGTTTGCAGATCCCCGCATTCCTGATCATCAGCCGTGTTGTCTAGGACTGATGGGAGACGAAGTCCAAAACAGCTGGAGAGAACCACACTGAGAAAGAGTGCAGTGAGTTTTCTTTGCCCAGAGACACCTTATACCTAAAACTGCCCAGACAAGATCCATATCTCATTTTTATAGTATTGTAATCATGTAATCAGGAAATGGAAACTGGCGTGAGCTCATACAAAAGCTCTCTCATTTATAAAATGTATGTTTTAATGGAAAACTGTCTTGTTTATTCTTCATGCATTCTAGGATTGATCTCAGCTTGAAAACAGATGTTAGGTATGTACATCTTTAGTCTGATGAATATACAGTGTGCAAGAGTAGTGTAATCCAAATTCTGCACCCATTCAATTCTATGAGAAAGCGAAGAGAGAAACTGACCCTAAATGTACAGTTTTGCAGATTAAGAATACGTTCTCCTTCTCCCCTTTGCTGTCCTTTTAGGCATTACAACCATGTTGTTTTATGGCCAAGCTCTCACCGAGGTAGTAAACCTGGATGACTTCAGAATGCAGGTTGAGAACTCACATGTCTGAATAGTCTAGTCGTAACACACACACACACACACACACACACACACACTTGCTCAGTCCTAACATCTCACAGAGAAGGGTTTTAACCCAGACTTCTGCACACACTCACGTTCTGTGCAGGGTTTTATTTTGTTTTAATAAAAGAGTATTCACTTATGTGACTTCCCACCTGCAGTCTGAAGTAGTTCAACCTGCATGTGGGTCTATCACCAACAGGCTTGCAGGTACGTAGAGGCTGAACACATTTCAGAACTGGAAATGGACACGGCCTGAGCAGGATCCCCAAAGGCAGACAGGTGGCACTTTACTCATGCAGCCCTTCTTACTCCTACTTATGGCTAGTGGATCAAACCTATTACAGGCTGTTGTCATAGCTGCATAATTTATACAGGTCACACTGATATTGTTGCTCTTTTGTGAACAGGGAGCAGTGGCTGTTCATGGATGGTACTCTTTCCCTTATTTCAGAATGATTACTGGTGACTAGAAACTCGATTTGCGCAAGTTAAAACAATGCAAAGAGTGGGCCCTGGATTCCAGAGGATGAGTGTTTACCATTCAGTCTTTGTGGAAATATGAAGCCAGTTTTGTGTGTTTAGAATTTATCAAAATTATGGATCACCTCTGTGCTATTTATAGCCCTGTGCAGTACAGTCAGGACTCAAATCTTTTCAAATAGGCAGAACATTCCTAAAATCAGAATTCATTCACAATACCAGAATTCAAGGAAAAGTAAAGAATGAAATAGGACTGAAAACAAGAGGACAGACCTGAGTCTGGTTTTTGCATGCAGGTTCATCACTTTGCTGCAAGATGCTGAGGTGAGCTCTTTGCATGCATGGGTCAGTATCAGTAAAATGGTCTTACATCACCTCAACCAGATGGATTTCAACAGAGTCAATTTACATATTCAACTGCCAGGGATCAGGGACAGAGAAATCAGTAATTGTATGTGCTCTTGTAATCCAAATCTTAAACTGTGAGTATCTTAAACGCCCTTAATGTCAGGGAGGCAGACCCAACCCATTATTGGCAGCTTGACCTCACTAGATAGCTAGGCTGTAGCGCCTAGCAGCTTGCCCTTGACAAACATTGCTCACATATGGGTACATCTGAAAAGATGTGAAAGAATCAGTTCCACTTGGTTTTGCTTCATCTGCTTGATTTTTACTCACCAGGTCAAGATTTAAATGCCTAGGCATTGTTCTAAGATTTATCATGGTATTGAGTCAGCAGTTGAAAAACGAGTGAAGCAAGTAGGTAGTAAACAGGCCAAGGCAAAATGGAGGTTGTGAAGGCGGAGAAAATGCACAAAAGGGAGGAGGGCTTTGGACCAATTCCCTTACAAAGGATGCCTACAGTGTGTGGGCTCCTTTAGTTTAGAAAACAGGTGGAGGGTAATAAAAGTGTCAAGTATTATGCATGGCAAGAAGAAAATAGATGGGGAGAAGCGTTTCTTCCTCTTGTATAATACTAGAGACTGGATGATCCAGTGAAGCTGAGTGCTGGGCTGGGCGATTCAGGAGAAACAAAAGCAACCCATAGTTAAGCTGTGGAATTGCCTGGAGATGTATTGACTCTTTCAAAGAAGGATCATTCACAGGGGAGAAGGCTGTCAGTGGCCGCCAGTCCAGTCGGGGTAATGCTCCCTCCAGGACAGGGAGCAGTCTGTGGATGCTAGTTGCGGGAGAGCAGCAGCGGGAGGGGACTGTTGCCCTTGTGCGCTGCTTGCGAGGAGCATCGTCTCTGACCCCAGTGCCGCCCTCCCTGGTACTGAAGCAGCAACTGGGGCTGCCGTCAGCGTCAGGCTTTCAGCATCAGCAGTCTTTTACTTGGGGGAAGGGCATGTGCAAGAGGGCTGGGTGCCCGCAGATTGTGCACCTCTGATATACAGGATTGTTCTAGCTCCTTCATCCTTCCTGTGAGGTCACCACATTGGCTCGTAGGCTAACCTACAAATTCCAGATCTGTTTTGGGAATGTCCCGTGTTGCTGGACCAAGGCCAAGGTCATCCACATCACTGTACTCCTGATCGGCAAGTATGGGTGTGAAAGCTGGGCTGGACAGGAAGAGAATGGATGTGTTCAAAACATGGTTCTGGAGGAGAGCTTAGCAAATACCCTGGACTAAAAGGAAGGCAAACCAGTGGGTCCCAGTTCCAATCAAGCAAGAACTTCCCCTGGAAGCAAAACAGGACAGCATTGATGCTGTCATACCTTGGGTGCCTCATGAGAAGACAGGACTCACTGGAGAAGATAATCGTGCTAGGGAACGTCCAAGGCAGAAGAAGACAAGGAAGACCAGCTATGAGATGGACCCATTGCATAAAGGAAGCCATGGCCTTAAGCTTACAAGAGTGGAGTGGGGCTGGCATGGGCTGGACACTTTGAGGGGCACTCGTTTGTAGGATCACCATATGTTGGAGATGACTTGATGGTACACGACGACAGCATTCATTGCATCAGTGCAATGAATGCTACTAGTCCTGATGGCTCTGCACCACCTCCAGTTACAGAGGCACTGTGCAGATATACCTCAGTTATGGAGAAAGCTCAACCGTTGTGGGTTTCCTCGAGGCAGCTGCTTGGCCACTGCGTGAACTGAATGCAGGATGAGATGGGCCCAGAGCAATTCTTGCATTCTTTTGAAAAGGGCCAGTCAGTTTGCCCTGGCCTGAGAGTGTGGGGCACATACTTTACTGTTCTGCAGGCCCAGCCTGAAATGCCAGTATTACTGTCCAGCTGTTGTGAAGAAACATCTTCCCAGAAATCCAGGTCAGGGGGAGGCAGAGGAATCATAGACCCCACCCTGGACATAAGCTCTTTCCGAGTTTCTCCAGGCAAAGGGCTTGTGATCCTAGCTGTAACCCCAGCCAGCTACGTGGCAGGGATTCCTCTCTCTCGCCAGCCAGGCGACAGCGTAACACCCTCACACCAGGTCTTCTGGAGGAATAACACTGACAGCAGGAGGGCAATCCACAAGCCAGCCTTTCCCAACTTGTCACCCTGCACATAGTGGGACTTCAGCTCCCACTAGCCCAAGCCAGCATGGCCAACAGTCAGGGATTCTGAAGTTGCCATCAAAACCACTTGGAGGGCACCCAGATGGAGAAGGCTAGCTTATGCATGGGCTCTCTCCTAATTTGATATGATTGGTTTGGCTAAGCACAACAACGGTCCTCATGGTTGGCTATGTAAATACTAGACTTTCTCTAAAGAAAAGCTGCTCCAACCATCTAGGGAAACGATTACTTTTCTCCCAGGTTGCACAGCCCAAAATACTTCAATTGCTACTGTTATTCCACAGGCATTTTTGTCTCTTGGCAGTCTGCAGTGGCTATTATCCGACCAAAACAAAGCATGTTAGTTACTGGATACAGAGCTTTCGAGCACAGGAGACAGTCGAGTGATCATCTATAGCTTTGCTTGGAATGTCTGTTGAAGCCGTTCCGACTGTAGGAGTAGGACTGAGAGTTGCCTTCCCTTGCTTTCAGAAATGCCATGTCCCCTTGGCGGCAGGAACTGCT